AGACAAAAGCCTTGAGGCAATATGAGAGTAATTATGTGTGCCTAAGGACGGAACCGAAGCAAATATTTCTTTAAGGTCAGTCTGATCCTTAACCAGCCCGGACCTGCACATCCGCCATTGGGGCGTGTTTACTTGCATTCAACAACCCTTTGCGCACACACACACACACTGAGGTCTTATCCACACTCTCAACATGCTGTACTAACTCAGTGTTGAATGGCACTAGTTTCCATCCATACTGTACTTTTAATTATGGCTTGTTTGAAAATTGTTGGCCAACAGCAGGATTGGACTCAAACAGATATAATGATATGGCACTGCAAGCAAAGTTTGTGCGTCAAGACAGCCAGCCAAAGAAAACACAATAACTTCTCATCCACTCTTCTCTTTTATCATCTTGGCCTTGACATTTGCAACTGCAGTGAGCTGCAAAATTTACGCTGCTGTAATGAGCATGTTTGATTATAGCCTCCAAAAACAAGGGTTAATTTGTCAAATCTTATTGAGAATTTGAGAATTGTACGACCCATCATTTCTATGCTTGTTTGTGTGTAAGAAGAAGAAATAAAAAGACAGAAAGAAAAACATGGCTGACCTCAGCAACCCTTTCTAGAAGGGGCTCCAACCAGTGTTCATTACACTCGCAATGGCTGTCAAGGAAGGTCAATACATTGGCCGTGGCTGCATCCGCTCCTCTGACTCGGGATCGCATCAAGCCTGAGACACACACAACATGGGATTGAGAATCAAAGGACTGATGCAATCTGAACTATGCAGAAGTTTGTTATCCCTATATCCTAACCTAATTGATCTTCAACAAGTGTGCAGGGCACCAAAATTATAGTCAAAAGCACCTGTACTTTGGTAACAAGTTTGGTAAATAATATAATTGAAATAGAATAAAATAAAATAGAATAAAAATAGAATAAAAATAATAGTAATTTTGGAAAAGGATATGATGCCCATCTTGGTGAGGAATTATGTTTATTATTGGTGAGGTATTAGGTCAGTTATGTCTGAAGGGATTGTTTACAGGTAGACAAAAATCACCTGTTGAAAATGAATGCAAATTTAAGAGAGAAAACAAAAAACAAAAGAATCAGCTCCCTACTTCTCTCTGTCAATCTGTCTTTCTCTCTGTGCTTTTTTTGGTGTGTCTTGTGTTTTTTAATAGTTAGCAGTGGATCTACCAACCCAGAAAACGTGAAAATTGACAACCAGTAACTGTTTTGGTTTCTCTGGAAGCATGTAAAAAAAAAGCCGATCAGATTTCGCTCCCGTTCTGAAGCAGGAAGGGGAAATTCTGGGGAAATCATAGATGTATATTACAACTCGTGAAAAGGGGCTTAATATGTCACCTTTAAACTCCCTTAGTTCCTGTGTTTTTGTTGTTGTTTTTTTTTTTTTTTTTTGCACCAGCACTTTGATCACGTCTACCAGGGTTAAAAGATCGGGTAATTTATTTATTTAATTTTACGTTGTGTTCCCTCATGACCTTAACACTTTAATAGGGACGTAATACTTGATTGTGATTGTTTCATTCATTTCTTACCTACTGTAATTACTTAATTAAAACAAAAGCCAAACCACAAAATTAAACGAAACAAAAACCTAACCAAACTTGTCATCATGTCAAAGCATTTGCAACTTCTTTAGTGTATGGCCACATAGCATGAAGTAAATAAAACACCATCTATACAGAAATGTATAGGATTATAAGTGAAAGCTCATCTAGTGTCTTATGCGGACAACTAAGAATCCACTGAAACATTCAATACTAATTAACCAATTTGCTTCTTTATAACCTCCCAATACAGTCTATGTTATCTGTATGAGTACATTTGTACATGCAATGTAACCTTATTTCACTGTGAGCTTCACCAGGGACTGAAACTTTAGTTCTTTGTTTTCTTACCATAAAGTAATTTGTGTATCAAAGAACGTTTGAAAGCAAATACAGAGAGCTTGCTGAGTCGGACTGGAATTGGATTTGAACAAAAGGTTTTGGAAGCAAATAAACAAAGAGGAGTTTTGGCTACAGAGCAGCAGTTTTCTTGACAGATATATAAAACACCTTCCAAAAATACACTCCAGCTCAAAACAGATCTTTGCTTTTCTCTACTTTTATTTTCTCCATATTTGCACCTATGAAGTATGCAGTGCTTTTAATGACTTCATGCTGAGGCTGGTCACAATTAGTCGCAATAGTAAAACTTTAACTTGTTTTAATAGATGCCTAGATTTGAATGACTAAGAGCTGAAAGTAAAAGACCCACTCGCTCTTACATATTAACTTGGGTATAGTTTTGATTAACAGTGTTACTGTGATTCAGAGGGTAATAAATCACTCACCCTCTCGACGATCGTTGCGTAGGACTCTGATTTTCTCGATTTTCCCAAGTAAGGCACCATCTTCAGCTGAAAGTCCAGAGAAAACTGTGTCAGCTCATGTGATTAGGGCAATGCATCTCTTTTATTTTATATCCTGCTAGGAGAAATGTGGCATGATGTCCCACCACCTTCAACCAGAAAAGGTCTGCAAAATTTTGTAAAAGTCAATATGCAAAAGCAGGATCACAATCCACAGATGTAAAAACACAGAAGAAATGTGAGTACTAATGAGACCAGTGTCTGTCAGGCTCCCTGTAGCAGAACGCTATAAAGCAGGGCAGCATTGCCTTCAGGAGATGGTTCATACAGAGTTCAGACATTTGAAGAGGTCAAAAACAAAAAGTGTGATGGAATGGGGGCTCGCTCGGGAACGCGGCTGGTACCTTGATCACACACTTTATACAATCATACAAATCTCAGCTCCACGTACTGTACAGTGTTCTGTTCTGCAATACAAATCTATGATTTATGGTAACAAAGAAACAAGAATGTGCTATGATAACCTAAAATAACCTGTATGTGATGAAAGCTCAACAAAAATCCTGATGAGCAGTAAAAAGATTCTATATGATTATGAAGATATCATCTACATAGTTCTGTACCATTAAGTTTGATTGATGGCTAAAGATGAGAACACTTACGGTTGTCACTGTAGTCATCCACTAAGATGATCTCTTTGACCAGATGAAGAGGACTCTTCTTTAGCACACTGAAGACAGAGAAAGAGTTGTTCAGATGTGTGCACACAACCATTCTAAATTTTAGAGTTAGCAAGAGATCTAATACTCTAAGGCCCTGTTTACACCTGGTATTATAAGATCTGTTTTGGTCGATTGGATCACAATTAGACGAGGGAGACACATACCCCTTTACACCTGTTTTTTTAATCAATCACTTCTGTCCTGATTTCCTCGAGGGGAAGGGTGGGTAAATGCATGGTTTTTTTTCTATTGGCCAAAATAATGGCAATTTCTAATGGCAATTTATACATGAACGCGCACAGACACAATGGAAAAACACACAGAGGGCCCCATCTTGCACCCGACGCAATTGACTTTGTCCACTGACGCATGTATCATTTGTATTTTGCATGTTTAACCGAAGCTAATTTGGGTGGGTTTGTCCCATCCCCAATGTCACTTCTCTTTCTTTTACAGCCCTGACATCGATCTTCTCGGCTGTGAACCGATTGTGAAGCGCCCCTGGTAAATTATAATAGATTTTTAATAGTGCCGGTTATAATAGAATTGCGCCATCGAACAAGCACACCTCGTTCATCATGCTCTTAAAGAGAATGCTATATGATGCTCTTATTGGTTTGTTACTCGTTACACCCAAATTATTAAATAATAAGGCTACTTCAGACCAACCCCTTTTAAACTTGTGTTGGGCGCAAGAGCAATTTATCCCGCCGGAAAAGTAGCGACAGCGCCCAAGACCCGCCCACAAAGTTACTTGCGCTTCACACTTGATACTTGCGTTTCCTGAAATAGGGCCCAGAGAGCTTTCGTTTCTGCTCTGATAGCCGCAAGAAAACTCTGAAAGCTGTGAGTGTATTTGAAATCAGGAATGGTGAGAGAACATTGTGCTTGGTACATTTTTCATCTTCAAAACAAACTTGGGTCTTTAGCAACAATGTTTATAGCCTGTCTGGCTAGCGCTCTTCCCATAATGTTTATGTATTAAGTCAGTAGGCGGAAAGTAGGTGGTCTTTTGTGGCTCTTTGATTGCTTTCGCCCACATGAGCATTTACACTAGGAAAGCAATCCGGTCAAATGCATTTTGGAAGTGGTAGAAAGTGGACAAGCTAAAAACTTTTTAGACTCTGTTTTTACACCTGTCATTAGTGTTGTCCACTTGTGATCAGATTAACTAAAACACATCTTAAGTTAATACCAGGTGTAAACAGGGGCTTATTCAGCAAGGACGCTGTAAAATTTATCAAAAGTTACAGTAAAAAAAAAATGTACATTATGAAAAATTGTATATTTAAAAAAAAATTCTAATCAACGAATCCTGGAAAAAAAAATGTATTACAGTTTCTACAAAAATAAAAAATGTATTACAGTTTCTACAAAAATATTAAACGGTTTAATTTTCTATAAAAAAAAAATGCAGTGTTGAGCATAGACTTCTTTCAAAACCTGACAATATCTTACTGAACCTTATTTCAGGCGATTTAGCAAAAACCCATTCAAAAAACCCATAGATTTTGGGGCGAGGGAACCGGAAGTGCTAAAATGCTAACTCACTTCCGCATTTGGCCTACAAAGTGACGTCATAACTTCGGCAGTCTATTACACTGGTTTTGGTATGGTGAAAAACCTACATCATAGTGCATTAAACATTGATTATCCCACCTGACAACAGTGCGCAGCAGAGCTGAACGGGCCTCGTTGTGGAAAGTGATAACCACACTGGACGCAGGAAGATCTGTCCTCCACTGTTTGTGACGACAGCTGAGAGGGAAGAAAAGAACATATTAAGATAAAGTTAGAAATTAAACTCTTCTTCCATTTCCTTTCAGTGCAAGGAATTTTATTCAATGCAAAAGTCACATTGAGTCAAGTTTAAGGGAAACACTACACAGCGAAACCCCATTGTCACACTGCTACACCTGAATGAAGTCTTACACCCTCAGAGGATCTCAAAGCCCACATTAATTTAATGCTTCTCTGAGACTGAGATGGACAGGAGGTCATGCATGCTTAAACTCTCAGGACTTGCATCACCAAACATGCGCACACAGACACCGTTTATATCCCAGAGGTTTTAATTCGACAGCCGCAGGGCTAATCCTCAGGTTTTCTAGCACCTCTCATCGGGGATAAGAGCGCACAAAGCTTCTTCTGCACTGATGCCATCGATTTAGTGGCCACAGGATTCCTGGCAGGAGAATCAGGGTCAATTCCTCCTACACTTCTGTTAAATAACAGGTCAGGGTTGAGAGCCCATCATCAGAGACTCAAAATTGACTTCAGCAAACGGATGAGATTATTGTCAGCCCCGACAGTAATACTACACATCATCTCTAATTCCAAGACAACCAGAGAAAGAACATTTCATTAAGGTATAAAGAGGCACAGCGGCCACATCCATATTATTTCCCAACATTATCAATCTTTGCAATTTGCATTGAAAAAGTATTGGCGCTTCTACCATTTTAGACTTTTGGACTTCTCAGTAATATATTAAGGGGCCAGCACACATTTCAAGCACTGTTTGCTGGAGGTCTCGAGAGGAATAACTGTGCAGTAGGCCATTCATAGAATGGAGGCTTTGACTAAAAGACAAGCACTTTTTAGAGCATATCCCATTGGCTCACTTCCCTCCACTGGCCTCCAACCACCCAGCATGGCACCAAATAAACTCTCAAAAACTCCCGGTGTTACAGTTCAAGTCAATAGCTAATAGAATAAACGTTCTCGTTTCAGTGTGCTGAATGCCTGCTACTGTGTTTTAAGATTTTAAAGGGGTCCCGTTATGATTTTTCACCTTTTTTAACTTTAGTTAGTCTGTAATGTTTCTGTTTGAACAAAAGATCTGCAAGGTTACAAAGCTCAAAGTCCACTCCAAAGGGAGATACTTTATTTAACAACACCAAAAATGAGTTGATTACTGTTTGAATGGCCAAAGGTTTACAGACAAATATAAAACAAAACATTCCCCTCTGAAACCTCCTGTGAAGGCCGTGCCATTTATTTAAAAAAATGATTTTTTTTTTCTTGGTAACATTTATAACGGTCTTCTCTTTACTGTTATTTTGATCAAATAACTCCATTAAAAGTTAGTGTGTGATGGTATACATACATGTTATTGGTATTGATATTAAAAAACAATGATCTTGAGCAATAAATCAGCATATTAGAATGATTTGTGGAGGATCATGTGACACTATAAAATTTAGCTTTAGAATTTACAGGAATAAATTACATTTTAAAATATATTCATAATATAATCACATTACCATTTTTACTGTATCTTTTGGTCAAATAAATGCAGCCGTGGTAAGTATAAGAGACTTTTTTCAAAGACATTGTAATAAAGTTTTTTTTAAGTGTTTTATCCCTAAATGTATATAAAATGAATGTCCAATGCTGCACATTTTTTGACCAGTGTCAATTTTATTTATTTACAATATTTATTTATTCATGCAAGGAAGATACTCTGTATTATTAAAAAATGGACTGAATGATAAACAAAGATACAGGCATGAGCAGAAAGGCATCATTAATTGATTGGCAAGCAGGTCTATTTTTTTTCAATTAGAGCAGTGGTGCGGTCTGAACACCGGCCACGGGACATGGCCTCAGCGAGACAACTATCCCGCCAAAAACATTTCCAATAAGACACATGGGCCTGCTGCCATCAGAGGTAACAAAACAGAAGCAAAGTCTCTTAGGAGTAAACAAAAACCATGTGTTTGTTCCTCATTAACAGCTTAGGTAAGTTTTTAACAGAGGGATTTAAGACTAGTGTTCTTCATTCCTTCAGTTCTGGGTAAATTTACTAGAAGTTAAATGGTGAAAAAATATTTAGGGGAAAATCTGTAACTCCATTTTTGTGAGAAAATACAAAAGGTTGGCATTCCAGCAAGCAAACTATAACACTCTGACCTTTGAAAATGTCTCGTGCCCATTTTAAACCCAAGGTTAGTGTCTTCTGTTGAACGTGACTACTGCATTGGGAATGCAGCTCACATTCTGCAGGGATGGTGAAAGGGCAGCGATAAGAAGACTTCGAACAAGCAAAATAATGTCATCTGCAGCATCAGAAGCTCTCCATGAGGAAAACTGAATGACCTATAGTGACAAGACGTTTACATGAAACTGCACAGAGGACAAACAGATTTACAACATCAAACCTAGACACATCTTCCACTGCTTATCAGAATAAGAGGACCCATGCGCTTTAAAAGCAGACACCGCAGCACAAACAGTCATCAAATCCAAAGGTATTCCCAGGTATTAAAGCATTCCTTTCTAAATATGTATTGTGTTTAACACACTCCCACACATCCAGTTTGGTATGCAATTCCTGTAAGACTGCAGAAACCATTAAATGATCTAATATGACAGAAAGCTTAAATATATGCGGTTTTTTTTGTTTGTTTGTTTCCTTCTGGGCATTTTGATCAATTCATCTTCGTGGTCCACCCAATCCTCACTGTCTGAAACAAGGATAGAGCAGCTGGCCTCCTCTACAGATGTAGCCATCTCGTCGTCATTAATGGCGGAAGCGGCGACCGTTGTCCGTCGGTGAGCGCCTCAAGTGAAGCTGGCGGGTGAACTGGCGAGCTTTCGTGGGCTGGAGAAGACTTTGGGACTTGCGGAGTACGGTGCTTTTTACAGCGTGGTACTATAGTGGGCGGAAGTGCAGACTCGGAGAAAAATGCCAGACGAGTCCTCCGAGTCACCATGGGCAATAGCTCGCAATAATGGCAGCTGCCATCAGCGAGTGCAAGAGCTGCATGATCCTTATCCAGGCAGGAAATGCAGATGAAAATGGCGGTCCCCATCGCTGAGTGTGGCTCGGCACGAGACACAGGAACGAGGCATCTTTAAAAGATGCTGCTCTTTTAGTTATAGAGAGAGGGGCTCTCTCGATAGGCAGTTGCCGCAGGACAGCCAATAGACACGCGAGCCAACTTGCCTATACCTTGGCTTCAATATCTCATGGAAAAGAGGTTTTCCACGAGCGTAAGATATAACACAGTACAAGAGAACCTCTCGTAAGAGAAATCTGTTTAACATGGAAAAGATACCTTTTTATAACGTGTCGTGTCGTAGACCCGGTTTAATAGACATTAAAAAAAAAAAAACATACCAACCCAAATGTTTTAACGGCAGTGTATGTCAATCAAAGACTTGAGCTCTTGAGCTTCTGTCTTAAAGGAATTGCTCCTGCAGCTTATGTTTATTTCATTACCCACCTCTCAGGAAGAGATGAGAAGTGTCTGGGAAATCATACCAGAATATGATCTGAACATCTTGATCTTGCTCAGTCCAGATCACACGTTACTGTATGTTTTCAAACACACATCCATTCACAATGCAATTTGAACTCTGTCCAACCTAACTACAGTCAACAACATTTGAGAGCCGTGCCAGTTCCATCCCTTGCCAAATGACTAAAACAAACATCCAGCTAACGTGAGATTACAATGCCCAAGAATAAACCCGTCAACCATTACGTACTCAACACCATTTCCTCTCCTCACATTTGGAGGCCAAATATTTGAGACCACTTTGAAAAGGTTGGGATTTAAAATCAATTTCAATCTGAAAAATTTAAAATAGAAACATTGTGAAGTAAATGGAGTAGGAAATATTTCAGATCCTGCACTATTTGTTGCTCACTGATCAAGTAATCAAATTTGTGCTATTGATAATGTGACTTTGTAAAGATGGTCAGATGTTATTCGAAAAACAAATGCTCTTTAGATCGTGGAGAGCATGTTCCATCAGGTTTTATACAACTTGTAATGAACAACAAAATGTGTAAAACACAATGCACCTTTAGCCATTATTTCTGTAATTGCACAAATGTGACAATTCAAACTTTGGACCTAGAGGGATCAGATCGATATGGAATACTGACACAAGTAGAGGAAATGGGACTGGGCAGTGTGAGCGAGAAACGCATCTTAATTACACAGTCTGAGTGGCAGTCATACAACTGTGGGTCAATGTTTGCTTATGTGGCTCATGGAGACTTTAATCGATGACTTCATGAGTGCTCTGCCAGTTGCAGCGGTTGGAAGCACTGTGAGATATTCCCAAAAGCCAGGCACTGGCCAAAGCACACAGTAGTTTTTCTACAAGAAAAGGCCAGAACTTCAGAGTTCAGATAGATTTTGAAAATCAAGCCAGCTTAAAAAGGTCATGCTCAAGAGAGTGAAGAAAGAAAAGATGAGCAGATGTCCTTGCTGCATCCCCAAAACACTTGCATGTACTCATCATTCAGAGATCTGTTACTGGCTTACTGATGCAAATGTCGGCTGCTGGGTTAAGTGAAGCACTATAAATAAGGTTTTGTTCCCAGAATATTCAATTCCATCCAAAATCATTCATGTGAATTAAAACAGCTAGACGGCACGACGAGTGTCTCGAAACACATTGTTTAGGGATGCACAATATATCTGTGGCAGATTTTTCTAAGTAGCGGTATTGTACAATATTGGATATTTTACACGCTCCTTTATTTCCTTTATTTTTACATTCATATAACATTCAGATTAGATAAATGTAAAAACAAAATGTAATCTTTTACAAAATCTTTTACGTAAAAATATAGTATTATAAATGTACATTATAATGTTGTGATGCCTAAATTTATTTGTAGAATTTAAAATGATTGATTTTAGTTAGGTCTACATAGTTTAGACCTTTAATAATCAGCAATTTATTGCACCATAATTCTTAAAATGTATGTGTAATGTATGATACAGGATAGTATGCAACCACATTCTGTTTTTATAGACAACAATAATAATATACATTCTTATTTCCCGTTATAATACTTATTGTGTTGCATGTAAATGCAACTAATAGTAGTTGCATGTAATTAAGCATAATTTATAGTTATTACTATAGTAGCTACATGTAATGTGTAACAAGGACACTGTAAAACTGCTTTTATTCCAATTTCACCCGTCTAAAAGCTCTTATATGACAATAGCAGATTTTCATAGCAATTAACATGATAGAAATATGGTTTATGTCGCGGTGTATAATTAACACTTATAAAATATCAAAATGAATATCCATTTATCATATCATGCATTGTATTGTTGTGATGCCTAAATCATCTTGTGGTTTTCAAATTCTTATTTTTAGTGTTTTATTTTTAATTTAATTAGACAAAACCGTACAGAATTTTGATAAATCATACATTTATTAGTTATCAGCCATGCATGGTTCTGCATTTTATCCGTGTTTGACATTGAGGAAAAAAAAAAACAAAAACAACGGTGAGATGTGCCGCAGCTGTCAAAGATGTTTTTCTAGCACATGTTCATTAAAAAACAACAATCTAAAAACAGCAAAGGTGGAGGCCCTATGTGAAGGGTGAAAAGTTGCCGCATTTCCTCAAATAATAATCCGGTGGTAAAAGGGCACTTGAATTCCTGGAATAATAGGACGGATTTTTAAATAGAAACAAACAACCAATTTTTAAACTGTACGTTCACATCGCCAGTTGGGCCTTGAGGACAGGAAATTGAAGTGTCCGAGCGACTTGCCGCAGTACCAGTAAACAACACAGTCACACCAACAAGGACCATTCCTTCCTGTAGCCACAAATCCCAAGTGTCTAACTATCTAAAAAGTTAGTGATGGTTCATTTATTAGTCAAAATGTAGCAGAAGACTATTTTTTTTTTATCGAGGGCCAAGCTCATCCCTGTGTGATGGGAGGGCAAGCAACTCTCAAGCAGCCTGTTTATGTTGAGCGGGGAACCGACAAGAGGGCTGCCCTCCTCTTGACAAGTCTTCCTGCATGTCAGCATTAAATCAGCGAGTCCTGGGAGCCCTGCACTGCACGCTTTCAGTGGAAACAATGGTCTGCACCTCCACCCTTCACACAGTCAGTCCACATGACAGGACCACAGACAGTGGCGATGGCACGGAATGTTTGAGGAGTGTGCTCTTGCCCACTTCGCTTTCAGTGTTTCTCCATAAACCCTTTAATAGACCAATGAATGCCACGTCCACATCTGTTATATAACCAAAACACCTCATTAAACCAAACCAAAGTATGAAAAAACGAAAAACAACAAACTGCAGCAAACAAAATAAATTAATAATTCAGATTTTTGTCTTTGCTATATTGGCAAACACAGGGCATCTGCAGAGTTTTTTTTTTTTTTTAATCAATCTCTAAGACCGACACAAATAAAAATGAATACCTTAAGTACACCTATAACAAACCTTTATTAATCTCAAAATAAGTTATATGTATCTGATTATTTTACTTAATTTAAGCAGTTGTGGCATTCAACTGCAAAACAGGTTATCTGTACGTAAATTTTTTCATATAATTAAATTATTTAAATAAGTTTGCGGTTAAAATAATCAGTTTTTATAAAGACAATTAAAAGACAAGTGCCGACACTTGCAAAATCTATATACATTGTGTGAAATAACACTCTTAGTGACTGAAAGACAAGACAAGTTTCATTTATTTAAATGCCAGATAGTGTTTATTTTTTCACTAAAATCCCAATAATCCTGATTTTTCAATAATCTTTGATGATTTTTAGAAGGCAGACTGAGAAAATTGTGTAACATTAGCAATACATTATTATACGGTAGCCTTTTGTCCAACATTGTAAAAAGCGATACCATTGTGCGCAGCGTTTACTACAATAACTTAAAGAACTACAAACTACAATAACAACAAGTAAAGTTGAGCGAGTGGATCTCTGAGCTGGTGTGAGTGAGTGGCAATTTGCATATAAATCCACGTATACTAAAAGCAAGGGTGTAGAGTTACATTCAAGCTATTTTAAGACATCTTTTTTTGTCATTTTGGTTATCAAAATCAGCTTTAAGTGATAAAATGATTTACTACAGGGGGACTTTAAGAAATGACAGTTAAGACTTTTGTTATACCATTTGTGATTTTTATGACCTTGAATTGGATTAAACTGAATTTAAAATAAGACTTAAGAACCAGCTTGGATCCAGCAAACATCATTCTTGAAATATCCAGAGCAATGTGTTTCTGCCTAACATCACCTAGTTAAAAAAAGAGCACTAATTCATCATACCGTTCACAAAAGCTAATTCACAGTCAACAGTTGGCAGTGGGACCAATTTATATTCATTTAAGCACAACCAACCCCCAAAAGTGTTTACATCAGCCCTCAGAGATAAAGGAAGCACGTTTCCTCTGAAGATGCTCAAAGTAGAAGTGATTGTGTGAAGAAATCTAGGCTCTCTGAATCACAACAAAAGGCAGTTACATCTGGTCATTAAAACACAGCAGTAACATGAGTGTTTGATGGAAACCTCATTTTCCTCATGCAATCGATTCAGTCTCAGCTAAGTGCAGCCCTAATACTGTTACGCCCGGGTTCCCAGATAACATTTATGAGGCTCGTGAAGCTTTTAGAAACTCGCCAGCAAAACAGTATAAAATGTTTCAAAAGATGATGGAAAACTAAAATGAATCCAAAAATGCAAAGAAAAAACTAAACCTATCCAAACCATAATGTATAGTTTTGCTCAACATTTGCATTCTGCAACACATTATTTGATACAAAGAAGGGTGAAAGGCAAATTTATCCCCAAAAAAGTGCTCAGATATTCCTTGAGCTTAAACAAAGGTGTGATCGTTACAGCTGATGAGTTGCATAACACCAAAGATCTCAATCTCAATCTTCATTTAAACTATTCATTTACTTTGCACTTATATATATATTCACCGCTGTACACACCCTGATGATTCAGTATAGTCAATCCTGCCATGACATCTCTGACAGCCATTTAAGCCCTGAAGGCAATTTGGACCTCAAGGACACTATGACCAACAGACAGATGAAGACGAAGTTTTGAAAGACTCACTGATTTGCTAGAGAATTGCTTTTCTTGCATTTCTCTATCATTGCGCTGTGTAAGCATCTCTCCATCAAATGACAGACCTCTCTTTATGAGAATCAGAAATTAATTTAGCACAATAATTTTGAATGACTATCTCAAAAAAAATCACTGTTCTCTACATTCACTGAGTAAAAAACAGACATATTGGGCAATGGAGAAACCATACACATAGGGCAAATATTCTGTATGAAGTTCATTATTAGTGGAAAGGGTGTTTTAATGCTCTAAAGAACCAAATGATTAACAAGGAAATGGTTTTAATTTGATTTTAATCAATGTTCAGAAATGATAGTTACTTCACTTTAAATGATGCCTTTGCTGAACTTAATTCAACTGTGAAAAGTATCACATTGGAAATGGGCTAACATAAACCAAAATAAACTCTACTCAAAACTGTTGTGAGGAGGAAATATAACATAACCAAGTAAATGTTAGACATTATAAGGTTATTCAACAGAATCTCTTGCAGTCAACTACTAGATTTACCTAAAGAAAAAGCCATGATGCTAAAAGTTTCATTTTATTTGGAATACTATTAAAATGTTGGGTCAATGAGATTATTTTAAAAGAAATTAATACTTTTATTAAGCAAGGATGCATAAAATTGATCAAAAGTGACTGTTAAGACAATGCATAATGTTACAAATGATTTCAAATAAATGCTGTTCAATCAAGGAATCCTGAAATTGCATCGGTTTCCACAAAATAAATAAAAAAATAAACTTAAGTATATACTTTATTTTTATTATTTACATTCTACATTAACATTAATAATAAAATGTTTCTTGAGCAGCAAATCAGCATATTAGATATAGCATATTAAAACACTGTTGTCATGTAAATGAACACACAAAAGGTTTTCCATTTTTAGTTGAAACGGTGTAGAGTAAACGGCTCCAAAGGCAATTATCAATGTTTGCTAAAATTGAATTTTACAATAAAAAAAAAAGATGCATTTTAGCAGATTTTGACTAATTTCTTGAGTTGAGCTAAAGCGTTGACTGGGACTTACTGGTCATGTCTGGTGTCAGGGACACTGCGGTCCATTCTGAGTTTGTCACTCTCAACCTGGTTGAACTTGTTGCGGGCGTATGGATCCTGCCCTGGCCTCACAGCAGTTGCTCCCACGTACAGGTCCTGGTCAAAGTCCTGCCACCTAACCTTCCCTGAAAAATGTGGCAAACAGATGATTAAACGATGGATGTCAGAGGATCTTTGTAACAAAAGAAAAAATAGCTTATATTTACCCAGTGCGCACATAAATCAGACACTGTGGATTGATTACTTTAATGTACGGACAGGCTACTTTCCACCTGAACAACTCTGGAACTATCAATTTGTCAGTAAAGTACATGTCAGAAGGCACCAATATCACTCAAGACATCATGCTTGTCATTTACCAAGGACATAATCAAGAACAAAAGTATACTTTGCGGTTTTGAATAAAATACTCATGCTTCTCAGAATCGTCTCTTTTAGCCAAGACAAAAAAAAAAAAAACCAATGCACTGCTGACCATTATTACATTATAAATCACAGTTGCCCAAAAGAACGTGAAAGGGGGTGGCTAGACATCTTTACTTGATTACAACCCAGGTGAATCTGTCAAAGAAGACATTTGCCAAATGATAATATATGAGGATATTTGCCAAATGGAGCAATTCCATAACGGTCTGCTTTAAAATTATTTCCCAACCACAACCTCAGCTTTTCCTCTTGAACACACACAAAGTGTTATTTTTCCATTTTGATGTCAGTCAAATCCCACAATAACATGGCAGCAGTGGTAGCTAACAGAGAGTGTTGACATTGAGTTTAAACGGTAGAGATGGCTGAGATGATACTTGGACCACCGAAACATGTGGCAGAATTCGATTATGTTATCTATCATTACAAAAGACTATAAGCAATTAATTTAGCGGGGCTCTGGCAGACATCTTCTGCATTATAATTAGGCCAACCTGCTTGAGAAATACATGCCACCAATGCCAGCTAACCAGCAGAGCGCTAACATTGATTCAGAGGCCAAGAAGACCACTGCCACGGGAATTGTTAATGAACAAAGCAAAACGCTTTCAAATTAGGAGCAGGACCAAAAGGAAAAGATAATGGTCTATAAGTATTTGCCACTACATTATACAATTCTACACCATAAACCACGTTTCTATCATGTTAATTTCTATGAACATCTAGTAGTTTCATTTATGATTTTATAAAGCTGAAACAAGAAATGGAAGAGATCAATTAAAAAACAACAACAGCCTAATATTGTAATTTAAAAATATATAAATGATCAACAACATAATAATAATTAAAAAGCCTGTTTTTATAACATTTTAATCAAGGAATATGTATAAAACAACAATGATCACTTTTAAACGAAAAGCACAAAAAAGTGGACTAACATAAATCGAAGAATACAGCTTAATTCTTCCTGTAAAAATTCTTCAAACACCAAGTAAGGGTACATTATGCAAACTTTAGAAATCCAGAAAGGTCCACACAGTTTGAAATAAACGATGCATCTTTTTAACTAGTCAACACATCACATTGATCCGAACCAGAAAGATGCCCATGGAAAGCTAAGGTATCAACGTCTGGCATCTCCAAAACAATGCATAACACCGCTGTAAGCTCAACGAGAACACCTAGAAAAACACAAACTCTCCTCGTGCGAGGTCGCTAGAACTGTAGAGGCTGTCATCAGACTAATTAGATGCTCAAAGTAGAACAGAGCGCCTCAGCTGCGACCTACACACTTCACTTGACACTGCAAGATTCGAGACAAAGTGCTCTCCGACACACACAGCATGCACTCCTAGATGGTGTAAGAGGGAGGATGTGAACATCACCACTTTCTAGACTGAAATACTATACAGCATCATCATCTATACCTCAGTCCTATCCAGAGTAAGCACATACTCCATGCATGACTGCAAAATATTATACATTTAATATTACTAAAAATGATACAGGACCTTCTTAGACCTCCATGACGCAATTAGTGCACCAAACAAGCAGACTAAGCTAGTCCAAAAGACCTCTGCATAAAATAGATCTTATTTTAGCCGTGATTTTAAATCACCTTATCACTTACCTTAATTTAGGCAAGACATATTTTTTCATATCTATATACGTTTTTTTGTCTATAAAGGAATTAAGGGCTTGTATAGCAGGATGGCCAAGCTTCTTTTCCACACCAACAAATAAGACTAGCAACCCCAAATGTCGATTTTAGAATATGCCTAAAGTATTATTAAAAGCAACTTATGTGGTTCATAATAGGTCTTCTAAAGTCAAAATGGCTTTGTGTGTTGAACACACTGAAATTTAAGACACTATTCATAAAAACCTTGCCTTCTATATACAGTAGTCAGAAGGCAAATGTATAGGGCCCGCAATCGCTGCTTGCAGCTATATTTCAATTTGAATTTGTTTGTTCACTAAATGCCTCATTAAGCAAATAATTTATGTTTGGGGGAAAAATATATACAGTACAGTTGGGACAACATTTGGGGGAATTATTTTGGTAATTCACATTTCTTACTATTTGTGACTCAGAGGCCACATAAAATGGAAAATATGTATTACCATTTTTTCTTTTACAATGCTTTTGAATAATGGATAGAATTAATCATACAATTCTTAGCAAACCAGTTGAGATGACTCTCTGAGCTACAGGTTATTATTGCAGAGAAAAAATGCAAAATCTAAAAATGTATTGTTCATTGTTTAGCAAGTGTTATATCCATGTTCTAAAAAAGGATGAAAAATCAAATGGGAACAACATAAGTAAGGGTGAGCAGATGGCAATTTTTAAACTTTAAATCTGTTTTCTTAATTATTACAAATTAAATCAGGTACTCCTTGTGTCAATGTTCAGCTCTGTGGAAATCTTTTGGGTGACCTAAATTACAGGAGTAACACAGGGAGACAAGAAACTATGCTGACGATTCCCTGAAACAGTGCCTGGAAGAACAACAATAGACAGGAAACATGTTGTATGGCATGCAATGACACATGAATGTAATCTGACGTTTATGACAAATTTAATAGAACAGCTCTCTGTGGACCTCAGTTCCAGAGCGATCGCATGCCACAGAAACTAACAAACTAATTAAAAAATGCACTCACAACCCTACCACAATACTGCTTTTAAATACAGGAAGTCTATAAAAAACATACAATATCTTAATGTATTAGGCAGGCTAGTTCAGTTGGATCACAATAAAGTACATTTCCAAAAGGGAATAAAGAGTGAAGACACCAAATTCTTGTCTTCGGGCAAGTAATACAGCCACACTCATGCATTTTTAAGTGCCTTGAAGTGAGATTGTCTAACCTACATCCACAAATAACCTCAGGTTAAGTCCTGTTTATGGGAGAAGAAAAACCTAATGCCCTGTTTTGTGCAAGCTGTTCATTAAAGTCCATCTTTGAGCGTAACCCTAAGAAAAAAGAAAACTTTAATCCTGACATGAGCTGATTATGCATATGGGTTGTCAGGTTAGCTCTTACCTGGAGGAAGAGTCTCTAGGCTGTGGGCTTTGTCATCTGCATTGCTGTGTGATTGAACTCTGTTTGAATTAATGCCACTCCAGTCATCCTGCCAAAGAGAAGAGCAGATCATGAGCATAAAGTCATATTGTGCAGGTTAAAATGGTAATTGAACCAAACAAAAGAAATGTATGCAAGTGGTGCTGCAGAATACTGCTATTGGTACTATAGAAAAAACATTCATAAAACAGTAATAGTACATTGGCTCTGACATTTTTCTTCAAGCAGATTACAAGGAGCGAAAAATAACTTTTTGCCAAACCTAAAAACTCAAGACAAATTTTTCTCCATTGTATTAAGTCCAGTTTTAATAATTAATTAATTTTTTTGTTGCTGTAGTAACCACAGATTCCATGACAAGGAGCCTGTGTTGTTCTGCATATCTCTCTCCTCCTGTTGAGTTTGATCAGATCAAATCATTTTCAAGGGAAGCAGCAGATTGTCCAACAAGATGTTGGAAAAAATCTCTCTCAATCATTTTAAAAACTGTTGACAGCTAGAATTCAAAAAGACCTAACTGGTAGTTAGATGATATCCAAACAGATAACAATGATGGACACAATAAATGTGTTTTATGAGACCACATTCAACTTAAGTAATTATTATTCATTATAAAATAGGGAAGTCAATACAAAAAATAAATAAATAAAACTATACCAAGTCTTTTCACAGCATCAGTATACCAAACACAAACTAAAACATTTTGACCTCAAATTAAAATAATATTTCCATTATTATATTGCTATGGCTTCTAAATTGGCATCCTTAAACTAGAATTGGTACCCACTACTGAAAGTATTGGTATTGTGATGAGCAAATAGACCATGAACGCAAGAAAGTGAGCAGACATCGTCATTTCCACAAAACCAGGACAAAACCAGGCCCAGAGCAAAAAGAAAGCTGGTGAAGAAGATTACCCAATCTACGGGAGGCTTGGCATCAACAAAGCAGTCAGCTTAATAACCACCTCACTTAATAACAAATGTCGGAAAATATGGGTATTCTGTCAATTGTGTCAAGGCCAAGCCCTTAAGTAACAAACAACCATGCAACAAAACACAGAGCTAGTAATAATTCACACCCAAGCCTCTGCCAAGGTTAGCAGTAAATAAATGTGCAGTCTGGACAGGCAGGGCCGATCCAGCTAACGGAGTCACTTCCAAAGCTTATTTGGACGAGCGTCTGGTCGTCAAGCCCAGGAAAACAAGACTGAGGATCAAAACCACAAATGTTCCAATGTAAAAAAAAATAAACAAAAATCACTTATTACCATTTTATACACTGTTAGAACTTCAATATTTGTTGTAACTTCCTTTAGATTGTAAGTGCCTCAATTGAACATGTCAGAAACGTGTAATAGATAACAAATCCTCATAAAAACAGAAAGATATCAACTATCCAATGTCAAAATGGTTAGAACCATTGACATGGATCAATGATTTTAATATAAACCAAATAATGTTAGTATTTTAACTGGATTCCCAGTGCTACAGTAACTCAAATCATCACAACAACTTTGTTGACTATTCAAGCAAAGCCAGAGTTTTCACCTGACACAGATTGTGATTCATGTTAGGAAATTCTGGCTCTTGGGTCAACAGGGTGAGGGAGCAGGTGTGAGAGAACGCTGAGCACAGAGGAACGTCCAGCCAAGCTTCACGAAGCTTCTCCTCAAGCAGCTGGTCTTCTACAGCCCACGACCTATTACGAGCTATTGGCAGCGACCTTCCAGATAAGCAAGCTTAGTGTTCAGAGCACATTCAATTTGCAATCTAATGTCCATTCATTATTTCATATTGTAAGGAGTTCAGTCTTTACATGTCGGTGTCCCAATACCAAATGATATATTTCCGGTTAAATATTCATTGCACAGATCCTTTGATTTCTGAAGCAACAACTAGAAAAACTATTTTAAAATGTTCCACTTCCTTCTCATCTGTATCCAAGCATTAAAATCACATTTTAATCACAATTTTAATCAACATCACAATTTTATGCTGATATTGAGTTCATTGGGGTGCTGGACAACTTCTGGAAACCGTTGCAAAACCTCAAACTAAATAGTAAAAGAGCTCTAGATATTTTCTTTGACCTATAAAGTAGGTGTGCCCAATTCCTGCTCCTGCCAATCGACTGTTCTGCACAGTTTATCTCCAACCCTAATCCAACACACCTAAAGCAGCCAATAAAAGTCTTCGGGATCACTTGAAAATTAAAGGCAGGTGTGTTTGATTAGGGTTGGAGATGATCTGTGCAGGACAGTTGATAGGCAGCCAGCTATAAAGTAAATTCAAGAAAAGGTAGCATCATCAATCATTAAAACATTATAAAAAGCCTTTCGGCAAAATTATGGAGAAGATGCCGTCTCGGTGAGGAACATTTATTGCGAAAGCGACCGCTGTCATCGTCAGCTGCCGGGAAGGCGTAAAAGATACAATTCACCTCAGCACAAAATAAAAGGACTATTTTATCCCTTCATTACTGTGTGCTACAGGGTGGAACAAATGAATTTGCACAGTGCTGTGTTACAACAGGAGCAGGCCACACACTCACCAATCCATGGTTGGGTGTCAAAACAAATCATAAACATTTATCATCACAGCTCAATGCACAACGTCATGCATTTGGACAAACCCATATGTGTGGGCTAAATATTGCGATAAAAAACTGTTTGTGACAAATATCGCTTGACACTTCTTTAAATAATCTAATTAAGTCTACTTTGTGATGCCGAGATAGGAATAGAGAAGCAGACATCTTTCATTCACATCAAAATGTAATATATTTAGCGAGGAAATCAGTTAATTGCTTCAACCACTGACTATCGGGTGGGAAGCTGATTGACGGCACATGCACGCTACATTCTAGCATACGCTCCAAACTGATCTTAGTGTCTCTGTATTTCACTGCATGTTTGTACAGAGCCAGTCAACATCATGCAACCACATTATTCATCCAAAAATAATTTTCAGTCATCATTAACTCACCATCATGCTGTTCCAAACTTACTTCTGTGGAACACAAAAAGAACGTTTTTGTATAACGTGGCGCCTGCTTTCAATTTAATTTAATGAATGAAGACTGGGGATGTCAAGCTTCAAAATGACCAAAAAAAGCACTGTAAAAGAATTATGAAATGCTGCTTAACATCTGCTGTACAGTTAGCTCTGCGTGGCGTGTTCATAAGAGAAGCAGTGATGTGAAAGAATCCGACATGTTCAATTAATCATTCAGTTCAGCTGGAATTAAATGTACATGTACACTACAACAACATTTTCAGTGATTTCTTATGCAGTCACTGTTGCATGGCTTCAAAACACAAAATAAATTCTGTGGTGCTTTTTTGTCATTCTAGAGCTTGACATGAGGTTGAGTAAATCTTAATAAAGGAATTTTCATTTTTGGGTAAACTAAAGGCGGGCATACACTGTGCGATTTTCTTCCGATTTTGAGCCGAATTCGGACTCGTGCGACTCATTTTCGTGTCGGACCGATTTTCAGCTTTGTCGTGCGTCGTTTGTCGTGCAGTGTTCGTGCAGTGTACAGGGAGAAACGAGAGGCGATTAACCTCTCACGATCGACAATCGGATGGTCGGATGAATTTCTGGCATGTCAGAGATTTTGGTCGCTCCTCGTGACTGTGTCGCACAGTTGAAGCAAAGCTACGAACCGATTGCCCTAAACTCAGTGTTTTTTCCCTCACTGCACCTGCGCGAAAACAGAAGTTTAACCATTTCATCTGCAGCAAAAATAAAACGAAAATAAAAAAGAACTACAAATTACTGTTGCTTACCTCCAGTTCGTGTTGCAAAATGGATAATATTACCCACCGTCTTCAAGCCACCTGATATGCAACACCTCTTTTATTATTTTGTCAAACAATATTTTTGAAATAAACCTGTTTTTAATTTTCATTGATGATTAATAATGGCAATGTTCGGATATATTATAGACTGTTAATAGTTATTTTATATGCATATAATTCATTGTAATCGACCTAAATGTTTTAGATAATTTTTAATGAGGAGTAAGATTATGTAATATTTTATTATCCTCACAGCACGTTGGTTATGTGCTGTGAAAATATTGCGTGGCAAATTAATTATAATAGCGGATCAATTTAACAGTAAAATTAGCCTATAGGCCTCCCCTAATAATGAGAATATAATAAGAATAATAATTAAATGCATAAATTGAAAATACTAAATCATCTTGATAATGATAGCAGATGCTTGTTTTGACAATATCTCTGGATACATACACGTAAATAGGCGCAATCCAGGGGGTTATCGCAGATATTACACGTATAGTGTGAGCAGTGAAGTCGCAGCCCGACGATCGGACCGTACAGTGTGAGCACATAAATCCTGAACTTTGGCTTTGCATCGGATGCGATTTACTCGTTCAGTGTGAGTAGGTACCTTGCTGAAATCGCACAGACATCGCACAGTGTATGCCCGCCTTAATCCTTTAAATTAGTTAATACTGGTGTATTAAAAAAATAACAGAGAATAAAAAACAAAGAGCTTTCGCATTATAGGCCTAAAGCAGACTCTTTAATGCACAAATAGCTGTAAATACTTGTAATGGTAATCCTGAAAAGTCAAAACACATTTGACTGCTTGAGCCATCCAACAGCTCCAGACCTAAACTGTTGTTTTTGTGGCAAAGGAGTTTGCTCTGTTTTTTTTTTTTTGCTTTTTTTCTGTCCAGCTGTGCCATTCCATCAAATGTCTAGCGTGTGCCTTGCATTCAGACTACCAGTTACCACCTGACACGGCAACTCGCAGATGGAAAAACTCAAGGCGAGTTCAGCCTCACCTGCTGTCTAAGGAGAGCATTATTCAACCCGATCACACCCAGAAATCAGCAGTCATGCTGTGAACTGGGGAATGAAATGGCCTCTGACTCCAAGCAGGTGACACACAGCTTAATTAAAAATGCAGTTTGATCAGTGATGGGAAACGTTCAGGAAAGAGTTGACAGCTGAATCTAATTTAGTTTGTCTTTTTTATATTCACACAATCTCCAAGATCTAAAGGTGGAATC